AACAAAGTACAAATGGCACCTAGTGAGAAAATTTTCGAATTTGTCTTAATAAATGAATTTAAAGCCAAGGGCAATAAATTATTGAAAAATTTAACAGTAGCGCTACTGCCAAAGGTGACCAAACTGGTTAAAGAGGAAGAAATAAGAAAAACTTTAAAAAATTACCATGATGACCCAGTGGAAGGTGGACACTGCGGAATAACAAAAACGTTACAAAAAATTAAAAGACATTTCTATTGGCCAAACATGACCAAAGATATATCAAGATATGTCAAATCATGTCAGAAATGTCAAAAATCTAAAATTAATAATCATACAAAAATACCAATGACAATACCAATGACAGTATTGGTAGATACCATTGGTCCATTACCTAAAACTGAGAATGGCAATGAGTATGCTGTCACACTTATATGTGATTTAACAAAATACTTAGTAACTATACCAATACCAAATAAAAGTGCAAATACTGTAGCCAAGGCAATTATTGAAAATTTTATACTTTTGTACGGTCCAATGAAGACGTTCATTACGGACATGGGTACAGAGTACAAAAATTCTTTAATAACGGATATATGCAAATACTTAAAAATCAAAAATATAACATCAACAGCTCATCACCATCAAACACTCGGAACTGTAGAACGCAGTCACCGAACATTTAATGAATATGTACGTTCATACATATCAGTCGATAAAAACGACTGGGATATATGGTTGAAATACTTCACATATTGTTTCAATACAACACCATCAGTGGTGCATGGATATTGTCCATACGAGCTTATTTTTGGAAAAATTCCTAAAGGTTTCAATAAATTCAATACAATTAGTAACATAAGTCCATTATATAATGTAGATGACTATAGTAAAGAAATTAAATATAGATTAGAAATAGCGCACACTAGAGCCAAAACACTTTTAGATAAGTCTAAATTAAAACAGAAGTTGCTCTATGATAGAAATAGTGAACAATTAGAATTAAAAATAGGAGATAAAGTACTACTTAAGAATGAAGTAGGTCATAAGCTAGATAGTCAATACACGAGTCCCTATAGAATAGAAAGTATAGAAAACAATGGAAACATTGAAATAAGAAACAATAAAAATAAGAAACAGTTAGTACATACTAATAGAATAAAATTGTACAATGAATAAGTTACAATAAATGTAGTGATTACACAAATAAATATAACTAAACTAAATTTAATTATATAAAACTATTGAAAATTAAAACTTTATTTAAGAAAGTAAGAATAATCCCGTTATGGCATTATTCTTTCCCAAAAAGGAGGTGTAATGTATATGCGTTAGTTATTAATATAATAATAAGTGGTTCTATATTTAAATGCGCAGTGTATATAAAAATACACTAATTGTTTCCAAGCGCATTGCATTGTTTACAAACAAATGCACAATTCCACACAAGGAATTTGACACCACACATATCGGCGACACTTTGCCTTCGATATAACCATGTGCTTGCCAGGCATTGACCGCATATACAACAACATCAACAGTAAGCGTACTCGATACAAGTGGAATCGAAGACGCTTACTTACCAATAAATTATTAAATATTAAAGTACTTACGCTGCGTCGTGTTGTACATAAATAAAAATACATTTTAATATAAACAATACTAAAATACATATTTAATTGTTAAAAATATTTAGTAAATAAGAAAGTACATACGATGCGTCGTTATGTACCTAGGTTAAGTCGAAAGTGAAAAACTAAATAAAAATCAGAACTGGAAGTGCACTCAATAGAAGCGCACTAGGTTCCAAACCAAAAATCAACTTTCTTTGATTTAAAATAATTAAAAATTGATGTTAGTAAAAGAATCGCCAAATTATATCGGCGTTTAAAATATCCTTTGATAACTATACCATATTGAAAACTAACATCAGAAATTCACATATATTACAGGTCAGTTGGAGACATTTATTTGCATAGCGATCATCGCGCTATTATCGTCGAACTCTGCAAACCAACAGTGCCCAGTAGAAATGTCTGCTTGAAACGTAGATGGAAATATCGACTCTTCGATGAGGATATCTTCAAACTGGTCTGGAGCGATAACGTGGAGTACCCGGAGTCTTATGTGAGCATGGCGCAGGCGGTGACCTCCAAATTAATTGCAGCGTGCAACGCGGCAATGTCCCGTGCGTCATGTAGACCAGCTAGAAAACCAGCCTATTGGTGGACTGAAGAGATCGCTCGCTTAAGAGGCGACTGCAACAGAGCAAGGTGCGTCGCTCAACGAAACCGTAACAGTGAAAATTGGCAACTCTTTCACCACAACTACGTAAAATGCCGCAAGGCCTTGAAGAAGGAGATAAAGCAGAGCAAGCAGAGCTCTTTCAGGGAATTATGTCAAAGTGCTGAAGCTGACCCCTGGGGGAACGCCTTTAAGATGGTAATGTGCTCGATTCGGGGCAATAGAGCACCTCAAAATATGGATCCGCTGGTAATTGACCGTATAGTTACTACGCTGTTTCCTTCGACGAACGACATGGTGTTAAGTTGTCAAAATAGCCCGCGAGGCTACTAGCGGTGAACGATGGAAAGGAGGTAACAAAGAGTACTGTGCGGTGGTGACTCTAGATGTCAAAAACGCCTTCAACACGATAATTGATTGAAGATATCACAAGCACTAAACGAATTAGAGGTCCCGTGGTACCTCAGGAGAATGGTGTGCAACTACTTTAGCGGTAGATGGCTTCAGGTCCAGACAGTCGATGGTATCAAGCAGTACACGGTTACTTGCGGTGTTCCGCAAGGCTTCGTACTTGGTCCTTCTCTGTGGAATGCGATGTACGATGGTGTACTTAAAGTTATCCTTCCAGAGAATTGCACAAGCTTGGCCTACGCTGATGACCTTGCAGTCGTTGTCGTTGCGAAAATGATAGAGGAAATCAGGGAGCGGTGCTCAGCAGCTGTTGACAAGGTACCAGTTGGCTTTGCAAAAACGGATTCCAACTGGCGGTTCAAAAGATGGAAGCAGTGCTACTCAGTACTCGAAAAAAACGAGAAGTGTTCTCGTTTTCAAGCGGTGGTTTCGAAATTACCTCGAAGTCATCCCTGTGGTACCTGAGTGTTTTCATAGATACCAGGATTACTTTTAGAGACCATCTAAGGACGGCAAATGAGAAGGCGGCTAAAGTCACTGTTGCCCTGTCACGACTCATGGCAAATACCTCGGGTGTACGACCCACCAAGCGTAAACTCCTGGACAGAGTCACCAGCTCGATAATATTGTATGCAGTTTCCATCTGGGCTTCTGCTATGCGAATGAGCTCATACGCTGCAGGCGCAAAAAGTACGTACCGGTAAAGCGCACTACGCGTAATCAGTGCTTTCCGCACTGTATCGGATGATGCTGCATGTGTTATAGCAGGTATGCCGCCACTTGATTTACTGGACTACGAACTTCGAGAGATCTGGTACAGTAGATTGCCGAAGGATGAGGCACGCAGTTCTACCATGCTCACATGGCAACAACGATGGAATGACTCGATGAAAGGAAGATGGACACATACCCTGATCCCAAATCTTAATGCATGGGTACACAGGACGCGTGGTGAGGAGGATTTTCATCTTACTCAGATCTTTACTGGACATGGAGTTTTTAAACACGAAGAAGATCCGTTTTGTGAAGGGGTCGTTGAGGATGCAAACCATGTTCTCTTCTCTTGTCCACGTTTCAACGAAACCAGAGCAGAGATGAGTGAGGCTATTGGCGAGCCCATCTGTTCGGAAAATTTGATTTGGAAGATGATCAACTCGCCGGATACATGGCGATTGATATCGACCGCTGCTACGAGGATCATGACTCAACTTAGAGGCATTGAACGGCTTCGTGCCAGCGAATGCATCACAAGAGAGGTCTCACCTCAAGAAATAGGACAGTTACGAACTCAGACGACATATCTAACGATTTGAGCTGATGCTCAGGACGCCTTTCTGACGTAATACCTTCAAGGTAGAGCAAACAAAATACTACTTAGCAGCACTCACGCAGCTGCAAAAGGCGCAGCCCATATCCACATGCAGTCAATGGGATTAGTAACGTACTGCTTTAAAGTGATGTGTTTTTGCGTAGCCATCATAGAGCAATATTTGAGTCGCAGTATAGAGTGTGCTCCAAATGCAAAGTCTGCCTTGTGACGTGTAAGAGAGTAGCCAACAATTGCGCAACACAAAGTTCCAACCGGGGTATTGTTACCGAATGTACTGGTGTCAACTTAGTTTTTGTAGCGATGATATGATTAGTGAAATTGCCATAGTGTCTGCTAGAGTTTTTGTATGAAAAGCTTAGTCGTGGTGTTGACCGGTCCCAACATGCCAATTGGATCATATAGTTTCGCAGCATCGCTAAGCACTTGCCTTTTGGTTGGATGTTATGTATAATAGGAGCTGACCTGATAGAAGGGTTCATCGGGAAGTGGATCCCAATGCAAGTAAAGAACAGTAGTTTTGGTGTTATTGATGTTTTTGCAGAAACATTGACAACGACTCGGAATTTTGCCATAACTGCATGTAGTGGAATGTAGTATGCCAGACATAAGTCGCTTGAATGATGTTGGATAGAGTGCATGTGACTAAGCTGTTCGTATTTTTGCCTGAGCTGTGAGTTGAATGCCAATTTTCGTTCCAACTGGTGAAATTGACTAAGTGCCATTGGATATGAATTGCCAAGTGGTGGAACATCTCGTGTAAATGGTATTTGAACGCAAAATCTGCCATCAAAACATTTATGCATGCTCATAAAAAAGCATTCTTCATATTTAAATAACCTGTGTAGAAGATCATCAACACGCTCATCATACGTCTCCACACGCAATGCCATAGATTGTTTTGCCTTGTAGTTGTACATAGTTGTGTCGTCTGCTCCAAATACAACCTAGACTAATTGTATATTTTGTGCCACAGGATCATCGACTTCGCCACGAACTGTGTCATCTGCCAACAATGGGTTCTACAAGTTAGAGCTAAGCAATGCATCGATACCACCAGTCAAATTTAAGGTCTCCCAAAGATAAATTGCGTAAATGCTACCAACAGTTTTTAATGATCAGAGCCACAGGGATTTCTGAAGTGATTTTGTTGATAATACAAAATTCAACATCGAATCCAAATAAACTATTGACAGTCGAAAATATGTGTAAGACTGCTCGGCCATCAGTATATGACCGATTGCCACTGCCAACGCCTTGTGTTTACAATGCACTTTTCTGCTTACGCAAAGCCAGTTGCTTAAAATATCGCGTAGTGATCAGACTTACTTGGGAGTCTGAATCAAAAAGACCTCGGCGCAAGTCGACGTCGCCGAAGCTATTTAAGATTTGTATTAGTGCTGTTGCTAAGTTTACAACGCGATTGCCAATATTAATGAATGTCTGCATTGGATGGTGTGATCATTGATGCAAACGTGTTCTCGTTTTCAAGCGGCTGCTAGCCAGGTTTGGTTTTCCTGGTGCCTGAGGTGCAGTTTATGCCTGATGTGCCTGTGTTAGATATCCTGAGTTAATCTAATTAATGTTGTGTCTTTCTGTTTATGTTTCTGCTGCTGCTGTTGTTGTTGCTGATATTAATGTTGCTGTTGTTGATGTTTATATTTTTTAACTTTTACAAAAAGTAAAAACTATTTATTTGTTGTTCTCACAAATTATGTTAAAATAAAACACAGAGCTTTTGAAACTTTTATATTTCACGATGTCTAAAGTTATTTATTACTGTTCCAACAAAGTACTCAAAACATTTAATACTTTATCCGACTGGAATCCCCCCGCTTACAACACTTCACTACTTTATATTTTCTACTCTCTTCGTTCAAATTTTGAACTCATTTATTTTAATATTATCATTTTATTTTACGATAAATGGTTTTTATGGTTTTGATGGTTTTTCTTAGAAAGTTGTTAATGATGCTGAATAGCTGTTGCTTGACTGTATTGGCGGCGGTGGTGCTGGTGTAGGATGTGCATCATATGTATTCGCGAACTGAACTGTATTCTGTGAAGAAGGCGGTGGAGGAATTGGTGCTGCTTGTGCCACGTATGAATTAATATATTGAGTTGGCGTACTTTGCACAGTAAGAGGATGCGGATAATTCCTTATTACCGACTGTAGCCTTGGCTGGTTAGTTTAAAGTACGTTTATTCATTTTTACGTTGTAACGACACAAATTTACAAAGTAAATTTCTGTGCTACATAAAGCAAGAAGAAGAGAAAAACACAGTCTGTGTGTTAAATAACCGCCACCACTACACATAATATATCTAACAACTCACATGAAAATAACTGAAGGCGACTTAACTGGAAAATATAAAATTGAATTAAAATATTTATTTGAAATATCATGGACATTACCTGTGATCCTCGATGCCAATGCACCGCGGGCATCGCTACATGCAATGTGCAAATTCTAAAAATATACGGAAAAAAAATTAACTTTTTGTTAAAACTTTTATGAATGGAACACTTATAAACGCAACAACAATGAACAATTATTGGCGAAACATGTTTAAATTTTAAACAAATGTCTATTTTTTTTACAATTATATATAAATAAAACAAAACACAAAACAATTTAACACTCGTGGTTGTTCAATTTTAGTTTTATATGCGTAAACGAAAAACACAAAACAGTTTAACACTTTTGGTTGTCCAATTTTATTTTTATATGCGTAAACAAAACACAACAAAAAAAAAACTAAGCACGCCAACATCAATTTTATTTCTTTTAATATTTCTTTTCTTTTCACATTTAAGTTGATAAAAATATTAAAATCACAAAATATATATTATACCTCGTTTTAATTATTATTAAATTACTATTATAGATATTATTTAAATAATAAAAGAACCACACACAAAACACGGCACGTTGTAAAAAAGTACTAAAAATCACGGCGAAGCAGAAGAAGTGGAAAAACAGTAGAACACAAAGTTCAACTTCACGGCGAAGTCAAGTACAGCAAAGAATACCGGTACGCTACACCAAAAAGCTTCGGTATGCTCGAAATAAAAGGAGGCGCATTTCGTATAATAGAGGACTTGGTTTGCGACAAGTGAAAGAGCAAGTACTCTGGCTCATTGGGCCTTCTGGTAAATTTTACCAAAACTTGAAATTTTACTTTTCCTGAAACAAGTACACTGGCCTATTGGTCATCTGGCACATTGTGCCACAAATCTGGTTCTTTGAGTCAAACGTAGTGTAAAATTCCTTTCCTGTCTTATGTGTATTTTTTTTAACCTGGCTTATTCGGTCAAATAGTTTTTTTCACAGCACGGAGGAAACGTTTTGTTTATTTTTTTTTAACAACAGAAGAGGGGCTTAAGAAGTCACACGGGTTTTGCTAAGATTCTTTTAACAAGTAGTATATGGAGAAGTGGGAAATTTTGGCATCAACATAATTTTTTTTTATTTATTATTAGAAAGGTTTCCAATGAATTTTAATTAAACTTTGTTAATCATAAGATTTATGAAATAAATAAAGTTATATATATAATTTATACATATAAATCACGTTCTGTTTTCGTCTAAAACCAACGTCTCGGCAAAATTATAAATATATTGTCACGACTCTGGACGACGGCTGAGGATACCCCAGCAAAAACTAAAAATTTTTGAACGTCACCAAAAGTGTCGTTACAACGTATAGTGCATATTGTAAAAATAAGTTTATATTTTATTAAATGTCGTTAGATTTTTGTATTAATAAATAAAACAACTTTCCATTTTGCTCGTCATGTTAAGACTGTTTTTTATTTAAATTTCTTTCTTAAACCTAACATAGTTTCTTACAACTAATTTCCAATAGAATCTTATGTAATGGTTGATACTTATATTACTATCGTCTAATTGGTTAACCCAAATTAGACGTATATAATGTTTTACAAAAATAACTTATATACATTTTTTAGTTATATTATATTTCACAGTGGCACACATCTGGTAACCAACTGTATTGAGGGCAAATCATATTGCATGCACGATCGCTTGCAGTATGATCTGTGAAACACTTAACACAAATTCATGTGCTGAGCATGCCGCAATCCAAATTGTCAAATGCATATTAGAACAATTAAATATGCATACAAATATTTTGTCATAAAGGAATGACAAAATAGACGAGTCAAATTTCTGACTCATAAATTATTTCATACATGACAATTTAGGTTTTTCGGTCATGCTTGATATTTGAGTGTTTCGATTTGGTGTGACACATTAAATATCACACACAACGTATTGTGTGAGGTCATGGTTAATATGACACTACACCTGGTAAAATGGTGATTTAAATTTGATGGGACCACGAAAGAAATGTCTGTTGGAAGTTTCATTTTCCGTATCGAAAAAATGAGAGAGCAATACGAATTCTTATCACCAACTTTTCACAGATTTTCACTGTCTGGTATCGGGTTGCGCGGCTAGATGGTATTGGCAATAGATGAAAGATTATGCAGATGATAAGAATTTCGTCTATAATCAGTTGAAAAAGGAACTGTAGTGCCACTTTAGGTTTTGCGATAGTGATTATGAAATTATCAGGCAGATGATGGATCGTAGGCAACATGAACGCGGATATTCATAATTTGTCGTTTAGGCTTAGGAAGCAGATTCCCGAAAGAGAGTTAGTACAAATTATAAAAAGTTACTTAAGGGGGAATTTTGGTACTCTTGTGTTTTTGGCATCCGTTGCTTCGATAGTGGACCACATCAGTGAGTGCAAACGAGGTGAACGTCTGTTACAAGAAAATCGGAGAAAAGGGTCCAGTGACAGAAGTTCACTATAGGGATACCGTTGAGCCAGGAATTAGGGAGAACAAAATAGTGAGAGTAAAGGCTATTGTAGACAGCAAAATTAAACAACAGCGTTACAACTACGGATGTAATAGAAATTCTTCACCTAATTCAATAGGAGTGTATGAAAAAACAAACACAATTATTTTCACACACGCAAAAATTTATATATTTATTTAATTTACGAAAATTAGACTAGAATAACTTATAAATTACTTATATTTCGCGAAACAAAAAAGCGCGCACACCTTGACAAATCTCATATATCCTGCCCAGCTGGACGGGTACGTTCAGGATGCTCCACAAGCCTGCATATCTTCTGGATAGGTCGCATGCATTCGCCAGTTGAATGCTTGATTGTGACTACTCGTACCAACCCATCCTCACCTGGATGAAGTTTGATTACCCTGCCAAGCCGCCCATGTGTTGCTGGTAGATTCTCGTGCCGGATAACCACCACATCGTTTATGTTGATGCTGTCACCATTCTGATGCCATTTGGAACGTGGTTGCAAAGTTGAAAGATATTTACCGTATCATTGTCGCCAAAAATGCTGTTGCATTTGACTTAGTTGTCGCCAGTATGATAATTTGTTGCTAGGTACCTTGCCAATGGGTTCATCTAGCACTGCCAGTAAGGATCTGCCAATAAGGAAATCTGCAGGTGATAGAGCTATCTTGTCGTCACATGTGTCATGCAATGGTATGAGTGGACGTGAATTCAAGCAAGCCTCGATATGTACAAGTAGAGTATGTAGCTGATCATAGTAAATCGAATGGGTGCCAACAATGCGTAATATGTGCTTCTTTGCTAATTTAACGGCAGCTTCCCATAGACCGCCTTGATGAGGTGCGCCAGGTGGTAGAAAATGCCATTTTGTACCTCGATTTGCCAATTGCTGATGAGAATATTCATTATGCCAAGCCTGTAAGTAAGCGGCCATTAAGCTGCCTTGGCTACCATGCACAAAAAGATTGCCACTTAAGCCTTCTGCACGGTTCGTACGGCCTTGGAGCCAATTCGTATGTTGAATGGACCGCAATAGTGTAAGCTACATCTTCCAAATGGTGGAGATGGGGTGACCCGATCCTTTGGTAATGTCGCCATATGTTGTTTTAGCATTATGTGTTTATGCCGCCTGCAAATCGCACATGAGTGTATGCATTGCTTGACCAAAATGCGTGCCTGTAGAATCCAATATTTGTGTCGAATAGTATGAAGCATAATACCGCCATGAAGTGTGTCTTGATGCACCTGCCGTATTAAAAGCCTGGCCAATGTGCTATCCTTAGGAAGAATGATTGGATGACGCTGTGGCTCTGCCACCCTCGCATTATGCAGCCGGCCGCCTACTCGCAATATATTGTCCGCCGTGGAGTTGATGAATGGACTCAGTGCAATGAGTTTGCTGGATGTGGATATGGGCTGCGCCTTTTTCAGCTGCTTGATTTCCGCTGCGAAATATTTCGCTTGCTCTGCCTTGATGTGGTGATTTAAAGCAATGTCCATTTTTTGTATAAACCAAAAGTGCAAAGTGCATTATTTTATTGAAGAAATGATTTTGTATTTATATATTAATTTTGAATTTATTATTAGATTTACATTTATTGCTTATATTACTTATTATTTTAAGGTTTATTAATTTAAAACATGGGAATAAAGTTAATTTCACAATGTACTTGAAAACTTTGTTATATTAAATAGGTACATGGATTTAATAGAGAAAGAGTATTTGTTTCGAAATGTTATAAGTAAAGAGGATCGGTTCTACGGATCGTACTTTGAAAAAATTAAATATATCAATTTTGGACTACTTCATAAAATTTTATTTAATAGTAAGTTGTACACTAAGATTCGTTAGTAAGGTTATAAAAAGCAAATTAAATATTTTTTACAACAACATAAATTAATTTTGTTATTAGATTTCACTTAATTTTTTATCTTTAATTACAGCTAAAATTTAAAGAAGTTATTGAAATAGTTTAATAATATAATATCTTAATTTCTTATTAAAAAATATATAATTTTTATTACATATTTTTTGAAATAAATTTTCATTTAATCTTATTAATAACATTGCTGAAATATTTTTTTCACTTAAATTATATCTCTGCTTACTTAGCACAGTAGAAAGGGCGCTAAAATCCTGCTACCTGTTCAAGAAAATATTTTCTTAATCTTTCGCGTTTTTTAATGAATGTTAGATACTCTACCTAAGTGAATACATATTTCTGGAGAAGAAAAATATCTATTTGTGGCCCTCCCGTATTATCTTTTTTAAACTGTTGCAAAATTTATTAAACAAATACACCAATACCAATACCTGCTACCTGTTCAAAAAAAATATTTTCCTAATCTTTCGTGTTTTTTAATAAAAATTAGATACTCTACCTATGTGAATACATATTTTTTGGGCATAAAAAAATCTTCCTGAAATACGTTTTTATTTCTTTTAAACTGGTGCAAAACATTCCAAACAAATACTTTAAGTTCACTTACTATATTTGCATTTTAAAATGCACAAAGTATTATACAAAAAACTAATATTTTAAGTTAAAATACAAATAAGGTTAAGACAGTTATAATTTTTAGTTAACATTAATTAACAAAAATAATTATTTTAAATATTTGTTAATTTATGCAATTTTTAACATAAGGTACGATCCAAACGAACGCAAATATCAATTTTTTCAAAATTTGCAACAAAATAATATTTTCTATTTCAAACAAAATTGTGAAGTTCCTGTAATTTTTTTCCACCCTTGGGTGCAAGCGCAAAATCGCACATTTGTGCACGTTTGTGCAATCGCACATTTGTGCACGTTTGTACAATCGCACATTTGTGCACATTTGTGCAAACATAATTCTCTTCGCACACGAGTGTGCACATTTTTGTAAATCAGTCGCACATCACAAATGTGTGTGCACGAATCTGTGTGCACAATCATCGCTTTGTGCGATGTGAAATTTAAAATCGCACAACAAATTTGAGTGCGTGCATTTTTTTTCTTAACACCACAAATGTGCGTGTTTTAAAAATAATTTCCACTCGCACAGTGCAGTGTGCGATTTTGTGCACCACATTCCGAACTCTGATATAAACTTTAATAATTTTATTTAAAAATTTAAAACTTAAATAATTAAAAATAATCATAAAAACATACTGTAATTATATTGTAAAACAAGTGTATGAATAATAGCGCTACACGGCGGCACTCTCAAATCAGTGAAAATGGCCTAAACAGCTATGTAATGCTTACTTCAGATGACATCAAAATAAATAACCATCCAACAGCCAAACATCTAAACAAAACAATGTCCGAAGCAAATATAGCAAAAATAGCTAGTGAAATTGCCACAGCCAATAAAATTAAACTAAATAATAACTCATCACAATCGCTAGGAAATGATCAACCTACGAACTCGATGCAGTCCCGTAAGATTAATGAGCTTGAAGACAGCATAAAACATCTTACAGAAAAGATCAAGTCATTAGAAAAAGGTTGCGAATCTCTACTAAGAGAAAATGAAAAGCTTAAAGCTGAAAAAAATATACCAATTTCTGTTAAAAAGAAAACCAGTACTAGTGCTACAATTATAAACGCAGTACATAAGACCGTTGGGAATAACAGTAATTCACCCCAAAACGGTAAACGTGGGCGTTCTAGTCCTGTAAATGCACAGCGAAAAAATAAACAAAAAAAGCTTGATAGCTACTGGCTTGCAACACCTAACCGTTTTGAGATTCTAGACAACCCTGACGCTGATAATCAGGAAGAAACATCAGAACATGCGGAATTAATTAAAGAAAGTAAAATTCCTAAACCACCACCAATATTTGTAGCGGCTATTGGTAACATTCAACCATTGCGGGCACTGCTAAATGATGTGGCTCCAAATGAGTTTGTACTCAAAATTTTAGGTAATAATGAAGTCAAAATACAGCCCAACACAGCGGATATCTACTCAAAAGTTACCAAAGCTCTTGCAGAAAAGCAGACGGAATTTCATACTTATAAACTAAAGCAAGATAGAAGCTTTAATGTAGTGTTGAGGAGCCTACATCCATCAATACCTATTGATGAAATCAAACAAGATTTAATTAATTTAGGCCATGAAGTAGTCAATATCAGTAACATTCGACATCGTGTTACAAAGAAACCACTTCCTCTGTTTTTCGTTGGCTTAAAGCCCTCAGACAAGGTGAAAACAATTTACAACTGTACTGACTTGCTGCACACAAAAATTTCCATCGAAGCGCCTAAAAAGAAGCGCGAATTGCCGCAATGCACTCAGTGTCAACGATATGGTCATACAAAAAATTTTTGTAATCGTATGCCACGCTGTGTTAAATGCCCTGAAAACCACTTATCCTCAGATTGTCCTCGCAAATCCCCCGGTAATGATGTATGGTGTGTTCTTTGTGAAGGTAATCACCCGGCTAACTATAAAGGGTGCACAGTCTACAAACAACTCCAGAAAAAAGGGTTTTCAGCCCTACGTACGTAGAAAAATAACAACTGATGCAGAAAGGCCAAACACCAAATTGAATGTAACAAGCCAAACGTATGCAAATGTTGTTAAATCTAACAACATAAACACTCAAGAGCACGTAAACTCAGCTCAGCAAAACGATTTGCCTGAGCTTAAATCAATGCTCAAAACGGTTATGGAACAAATGAGCTCTATGCTCAACCTCCTAACCGCATTTGTCGCTAATACATCCAAATAATGAGTAGTCTAAAGATAGCTTTTTGGAACGCTAACAGGCTGACCCAACACATTTGCGAAATTAAGACTTTTCTTCTTGACAAAAACATTGATGTTATGCTTATTAGTGAAACTCACTTTACATCAAGAAGTTATCTGAGGCTTCCATATTACACAATGTACAACACAAACTATCCTTCTGGTAACGCCCGTGGTGGCACAGCAATAATCAAAAAAAATAATATTAATCACTCATTTCTCATCAATCATAATGAAAAATATCTGCAATCAACAGCCATATCAGTACAAGATATATATGGTGAAATAAGTATTGCCTCTATATACTGCCCACCTAATCAATCAATTAAAAGTCATCAATTCGCAAATTATTTCAAAGCGCTCGGACCGAGTTTCGTAGCAGGAATCGACTTTAACGCCAAGCATACTCATTGAGACTCAAGATTAATAACACCCAGAGGACGTGAACTATTTAAAACGATACAAGAAAGCAACCTATTTCACCTATCTACTGGCGAACCCACTAACTGACCGACAGATCTAAATAAAACACTAGATGTCATTGACTTTTGGATTTGTAAGGGCGTACTCATAAATAATCTAACCTTGCGGTCGTCGTTAGATCTTTCGTCTGACCACTCTCCTCTTCTGTTAGAAATTCTTTCGAATATCGTCCTAAAAACTCCAGAACTAAGACTTCCCAACAAAAGAACTGATTGGGCTATTTTCCGTAGTTACATTAGCGAGCACCTCTCGACACATATTCCTCTTAAAACTAATCATGACATTGAAACCGCAGTAGAACAATTCAACAAAATTGTACAAAAGGCAGCTTGGTCTGCAACTCCGTCTACACTGAATTGTAGGACTGTACATCTAGACAAGAATATCAAAGAACAACTACTTGAAAAACGTAAATTACGATAACGATAATAGGCGTCTGAATGTACCCACCAAAAAACTCAAAGCAAATCTAGAGGCAAGAAAAAATGCGACCACTGCAACTTACTTAGCAAGCTTGTCTCCCCTTGAGGCCACTGAGTACTCCTTGTGGAAAGCTACACGCATACTTAATGGACATACGACGCATATACCATCAATAAAGATAAGTAATAGGCTTAAAGTGATGCTGATAATACGAAAACTATTGCAGTACACTTTGGTAAAGTCTTTCAGCCACGCTGCTGTAAAAATAATCTGAAAGACTCTGAAGTT